GCTACAGTCTTCTATAAGAGCACAGCGTGGCGTAAATTCTATTTCCTCTCGACTGGATAAGAAAGCGCGGCGAAGGGGCTTAATAGTGAATGAGGACAATGTGAAATCTCTGCTGTCATCAAACAAATCGTCGGCACACTGGCTTATTGGCTCCCACGACACGTTGACATAACTTTAAGCGCGTAACTAATATCAATTGGTGACCTCAACAGTACAGCGCTTAGCCGGATAAAATCTAGATCAAATCCGTTGTGTAGACCCGGCTGTCGTAAGAAAGGACGGCTTACAGACAGTCATTGAACCGTTCATCGAGACTCCGTCAAAACTTTCGTGAACACTCTTCCAGAGAATAGCACTCTCGAAGTGAAACCATCACGTATTGCAGTCGAAGATGTCGAGAGTCCTGTCTAATATTGGTGCAACTTAGATCTGAATTGTAGTAGATTAAATAGCTTTATAACCAGACTTGACCCCGACATACCCAACGTATGTCAAGCATGCAATGAGTTCTCGCACGACACTAACCAATTCTAAACCATCTCAACTCAACTGTCATTCTCTCTGGTTCAAGCATGTCGGAACAGCTCGTTTCCTGGATCTTCCTTTATTTTTGATCTTGTCCCTCATAAGCAGGTTTAGCAAACCGCTATAATAACAGCAGATCGTAGCGAATTTCGTCTATCTAGGGACCGGACAACTAAAGAAGAAGCGACTAGCGGGTTATGGTTGACTCGGCTGTAAACACGTAAGCGGTGCGGACACCAAAGAAGGAGAAGAAAAATCTCGTTGGATTGATGGTGTTCGTGTTGAAGAAAATACGAAGTCTTTTGGAAAAAGCTGCCAGCATTAAATAGGCCCAAAAAATATACTCTTTAAGAACCAAGCAAGCTCTGCGTGAGAAAGATCCGATTACCTGCCACCTTCCTATAGTGAATTGCTTGCTAATATATAATTTGGAACTAAATCGACGCTTCAAATGATTTAGATATTTCAAGCTAATTAAGGAACTTAAAGAAACTGTGAGGCGTAAGATTCTTCAACACTGAAAATGGATGTAACAATTCAAGGTCAGCTTGGATATTACCAATTATGCGCTTTGATTGACGGCCACCGTATTGGAATCGTTATTGCATACTGCCGTTCGGAAGGCCAGGCTGGGAATCCTGGTTCGACCAACATCCAAAATTATAGAAATTTAATGTTCTAACTCCGGTCACCGCTCGGCAGGGAATGTCAAGTTTACTGAGCGTGTTACTGACATGAAATCAAAGCTTCTCAAAGGTATTCATCAGCCGTTTGGTGACGGCTTAGAATAAATTTTAGGACCCTTTAGTTGTTGGGAAAAACTTAAGACGCATATCACGAGGTCTAGTAAAAAGTAATCCATTGTTTTACGCCATTTTGCTCGATAACGTCACTATTGCTCCTATTGGCGAAAAATCGGTCCCTGAAGGCTAAATCTTCATTAGTAAAATCATTCATCAAAGATAAGAACAGTTGGTAATCACTTGGTGTGAGGTTCAGACTATAAGGTGGATACATAAGAGCCTACCAAACAAGCTTTCGGAGCTGCTGTCGAGTCACTAACGATGTGTGTGGTCTGGCGTTGTTGGACAATGAAATTGCCCTCATGTTTGTCGAAACTAAGCTCTTCTGGTCGATAGTTTCCCTCAGACTGTCCAATTGCTAACCGTTCCGAATAGGAGTTAGGGAAGCAGCTTATAGCGGTTGATTCCTTGCTAATTTCTAAAAAACACAACAAAATCTTCCTGAGAATTTCGTCCCTCAAGTGCCCTATCCTCAGTTCACTGAATACCTGAATGACCATAGCCAAACAACACTTTCGATAATCGATTACCCCAACGCAGTGTGGCATACTCATATGTAGTGTATACATGTATATATGTAAGTATGCGTGTGTGTGTGGACTTATTTCCGGCATTGTGCTACACTAACGAAAAACAATCGCTAATCGACGATGCGCTGCTCGAAGTCACAGTACACACTTTTTTTTAATATTTTTTTTTTTTTGCTTGCTTCCTTTAGTAATTTTGTTTTCGCTTTACTTTGCTTTTGCGAAATGGGTGTACGCCATCGTTGCGGTGTCGTGCGGCAAGGCGAAAGCCAAATTGCATTGACGCATTTCCAGTCTGTTTCCATTCTGTTTTGTTTTCGATGAATTAAAAGCGTAAACCCGACGTGCCACCGACTCCCCGCCGCTGCCAGGACAACAACTAAACAGAAAATCAAGCAAACTATTTTCTCCTGCAACACGTCAAGCGGCAAGAGCAAGAGTAGCAGATGAGCGTACATGCTGGGTGTTGGGGGTACGACGTTTAAAAGCGTTTGCGTCAAGAGCGCACGAGAGTGAGCGTCGTAGGACTTTTACGTAGTTTACGTTACGCTCGCGCTTACTATGTAGGCGGGCACGTACGTACGTAAGTGCGAGGACAGCGATGACGATGCTGACGGTGTCGGCGGTGTGGCGGTGACGCAGGGGTTCGACGCTTATTGGCCATGAGCATGAAGTGCTGGCGAAGGTGAGTGCTGTCGCGTGTATTTGTGAGCGTACTTTGCATGCGCGCGCGCGCCTGTAAATCGGCAACATTTTTGCCATGGATAACGTAAAATAAACTTAATGTGTTTGTACTAGAATTGCCTTGCATGCGAGCGCGGCATTGCATAGTTTTTAGATTGAGAAAGGTGCTTGCCGGCGACAGGCGTAAAAGGCAAAGGCGGCGCGCGTGTGTGTTTTGTTTTGTTCATAAAATTTATATATATATATATATATATATATATATATATAAATTACAAGTGCATATATCTGTATGCGTGCTTGTGTCTATATCAAATTTACTATTTATAAAACGAGCGAAATTGAATTAAAAACGAAAAAAATTTGAGAATCCAAAAGTGATATATTCTGTATGCAGCGCAGCGTGCATAAGGCGCTTTGATTGTATTTGTGTGAAAAGTGCTGAAAAAATAATTTCAAAATTGCAATAGTGCAAAATTAATTTGCTTCTTTTCCAAAGGTTTTCTCTACACCGCGTTTTTCAACAAGAAAATTACCGTGATTGCTATACATGAAAGTATGAATGCGTGTGTATATTTAGTTTAGTGGCATCCGTGTTGCAAAAAAGAAGAAGAGAAAAACACACACACACCGAAAGAAACAAAAAAAGGAAAAAAATAAACGCACTTAAGCAATGCGTTTGGCAGGACTCGTTCGTTGCCGTTCGTCTGCCATCGTAAACAGCGTAGAAGTAAAATCGATATTTTCTTGCTGTATCTTACGGCGAAAGGTGCGCAAAAGCCGCGCCGGTAGCGTATGCAGAGACGTCAAACGCGCTGCTTTAGCACAAAAAAAAAAATTGTTAATAGTGAAGCGCTATAGCCAGCGCGCTGCTTTGTTAAAATAAATATCAAGTTAATAGTGAACCTTCTATGTAACTACTGTAGCGCCGACAGAACGCGCGCCGCCCAGCACGCTCTTTGAGTGAGAAAAAATAAGTTGAAAGTAACGCGTCTAACTGCAAAACTTGACACTACTTAGTTAAAAAACCGTTTCAAAAGTAAGCGCGCTCCAAAAATACGGCAGCGGAAAGTAGGCGTACAAAATTTACGCCAACAACGCGCTGCCAGCGCTTTCTTAACATCGACGCGCCATCAATGATAATATCGTAAAAGTCATTAACTCAAAATATGTGCACAGACTAGGCGTACGGCAATGACGTTGGCGTTTACGTTGCCGAAGACGACGTCGACGCTTACGCGACGCGTTGACTCATTATCCCTCTACCACTCGGCTATTCAGAGCATAACCTATACCATTGCAACTAGCAATACGACGCTATACACGGGTCCTAAATGCGCAAAGTCGTACTTATTCGTGTTGTTGTTGTTGTTGTTGTTTAAGATTTTGCAACCAACGTCTGCTGCGTCGTACAGCATTGTAGTATATGTAGTGAAAAATCTAAACGTGACTCGTGCGACAACAACATTGACGGCGACTGCAGCAGCGGCGGCGTTTTAAAGGCACAAAGCAAGACAAGGCAAGGCCAGAAAGCTAGTTAGGACAAAGACAAAGTTAGCGGCATTAGCAAGTGCATCAGTGGAGAATTAGTGAAAAATTTGTGAAATTCAGTAGACAACTGGACGGTCGGTTTGTTATGTATGAAAATAGTAAGGTGTCTGGGCGCGTTCTTTAGCGTAAACTGTAGCGCTCAGTCAAATAGTGCGACCACAAGTATTAGCCTTCGCCTCATATGCAGCGCGCGTATTTTTTTTTTTTTAACCGTAAAGCTGTGCGCTGTTGTTTGAAAAACTAAAAGCATAAAAATAAATAAATAAATAAATAAATAAATAAAAATAATGATCAAATTTGTTAGGCAAAAGAGTCGCGAGCAATCAGTCAAAGCATCAAAAAGTTTTTTTAAGAAAAAGGTGAGCGGCCGCAACACACACACACACACACACGTACACACTGTCAGACGTACACACCCGCTCAGCTAGACGGTGAAAAGCTAGCGTTGTTATTGTTGTTCTTCGTCGCCGTTTTCAGTGCGTCTGCTTTGTTTAGTTTTTCTTTGCGCTTCCGTACATTTTTCTCCAAATTTTCCTACACATTTTTCCGTCTTATAATTTTTAGTGCCTTTCATATATTTACTCGCTTCTCTTGCTACTAATTTTCATACACTTTTTGCCTTTTTTGCATATTTTACGTATTTTCTTTCTACTTTTCGTATTGTTTTATTCTCGTCGTCCGGAATTTCCGTCGCGCACCAACACTACTACAGTTCTTAGTGAAAAATGCAAATTTTAGTTATTTTTGTGTATGTATGTGTGTGCGTTGTATTTGCTTTGTGTGTGTGTGTGTGTGTGTTTGCGTTTGCAAATTTATGTATCCTACATGATTTATTTCCATATATATGTTTATTTATATGTATGTGTTTACTTACACTACATGTGTATTTGTCTTGTTGTTGTCTTTTTTTCAGGGCGAGTCGAATGATTCCGGCACCGAATCTGATGGTGACGTCCTAGATGTTGACAACAAGCATCGCCCTCTAGACTTGGACATGGAAACCAGTGAGTTTTTTTTTTCAGTTACTCCCTTGAGAACTAAGGAAAACGGAAAAATGTAAAAATTTTAGAAAGCATTGCCACGAGGCGGCCGCAGGAGCCGAGTGGTTAGTAGTATGTGCTATAGATCGGGGAGTCAAGGCTGCAAATCGTGGCCAAACCAATAACCGAAATTGTAGAAATCAATAATGACAATCCCTCCTAGAGTTTTTACAATAAGGACGGACTGCAGCTATGATCCGCTTTCTTTTTCACGGTGCTCTTCCACACACCTTAAGCTTTCTTTATCCAAAGCAGCGAGGGATCATCTTCGCATTTGCTGATTCTGCACCCAATCAGTCAGTCTGTCAAGGTTAGCATGGACAAGTTTGAGTTTGCATCCATTCTCGCGAAGAGCGCATCCACCAGTTTAAGCTCCACTGCTCTTCTCCACTACTGGATGTCTTACTCCATTAGGTTGCTGCGGTCAGTGGGCGTCACATATAGGTGCATCTTAGCTTTATCACAGGCTGTTTCGGACGTCTTCCAATTGGTGGATCTTTACTGATAAAACCTGTCGTTTGGTTTTAAAGCATTGTTCATGCGTTTCGTTTATTAAGCTCATCACACCGTCTCGTTTTCAGCAAGCAACTGAATTTTGGCTACAATTTCTTCTTTAATTTTTGGTGCTAGTCACAGATCAGTCAGTGTGTCTCATAGAAGTGCGACAGTAGCGAGTTCTACCCTCGAACTTTCTCCATTTTCCCCTTAGCTCTTCTTTCCACAGCTTGAACATGTACTCGAAGGCTCTCTTGAACCTAGGCTACCAACTTGTAGTAGATCGCTTTGGACTTCAACACATTCTTACTTCCCTTTATTTTTCGCTTTTTAGCGCCAATTGGAGATACAAAGTACAGCCAGGTTCTTTTCTACCTGGTCTTTCCAACGTAGTGGAGAACTTCTTCTTCATCTCCCTCCACCTTAAAAGCTGGTGTATTTTCATCCATCCGGACCATATGACCTAGACAGCGCAGCCACTATTTCTTGCTTCAGTGAACTATGTCAATGTTGCCTTAAACAGCTCATCATTCCATCGGCTGCGGCATTCGCCGTTCCCAACTCTTGGGAGGACCATAAACCTTACACAAACCAATTCTGTCGAAAACTTTTAACGCCGACTCATCAGACGTTGGTTAGGCGTTAACACTACGTTTATGAACGGCTTCCTTCACAGCAGGGGTAAGACCATTTGGGACACAGCTACTTCTCCCCCTCACATTTAGGCTGATATCCTAGCTCGCTCCTTCTCTTTATCAACCTCTGGGTTTGGGTAACTTATACCCCAAACTTTTATACCGACCGCCAGGTACCGCCTAGCCTAGTATCGCATTCAAGGCCAACCGCCATGTAGCGAAGGTTGAATACATACCCTCTCTAGACGCCGAGAGACATTTGCTGTACTTGTCTAGGTGTCATGGTATCAATGCCTAGTCGACATCCGCGTGGAGGATGTAACTAAGAGGATTTCCCCAAACGATTTCTCTGGCCCATTTCGTGTATCTGAGAACACAAGACACAGAAATTTCGCAACTAATCAAGAGTTTATTTAGAGGTTTCCTGCATCTTATCACCCAACCTCGAGGCATCTACTGTTACTGCAATAAGTTGCAGGCGCCTGCAATGAGCATGGAGGCCGTATGCTAGGCAAATTTCCTCAAGAAGTGACTTTGTCGAGGGCGTCTTCAAAACCTTTCTTGAACCTTTTCATCCATCCGTCGTGTTTCTCATATCACTATATTTAGCCACATCCCGTTGGTCCTCGACACTCAGTGCCACATTGATTATGATCGACCGATAGATCGCTTCATTCATCCTCATCATCTGTCGTACCATGAATGATAGAATGCGGACTGACGCGTATCGTCTCCAGAAGTCTGAGGTTGTTAGCGATCGGTGTCTTCACATCATCAACGTTTTCAGAATGGAGTTCCAGTCTATATTTCTTCGTTGAACAAGTGAGATGGTCTTCGTGAAATTGTTGGAATTTGAATGAAATTTAACCTTGACCTCCACCTCTAGTTTTATATTCTCTTTAGTTTGTACTTTCATCACAGACGTAGTATCGCATCTCTGAGTCTAAAAAGTTCTTTGTTTGCCTCATTCCTTCCAGAGACGATTGGATTGAGCGGCGTCGAAGAAGGAGTGAAGCTAAAGTTGCAGAAACTTGTTTCAAACTCCTTTGGAAGGCTATCGGACCAAGCAACCGAATTGAGTAGGTTCTTCAAGCATTGTCGAAGAAAATATTCCATGTACTCAAGTGAGATCTTATCCGAGAACCCTTAGGATGACTTTTCTTAACTCTTTCTATTATACGGCTGCCGTTCTCGGGCAATGGGGGTACAAAAGGAGACTAGGAGCTCAGGAAATTTGATATAGATTTAATATTTAAAAGAAAAAAAAAAAACAAAATCACAGCCTTAGAAATGCATTAATTTATATTGACTTTTCTTTCCATCTCCTCCCCCCCCTCAAGGCCTAAGCTCCTGCGCCGATGTAAATTCACCAACAACAGACACCGCCTGCTCTTCGTCAGCATCTTCTGCGATGATGTGTCAATCCCACCTTCTATATGATCAACACAGTTCGGAAGAGGAATTGGAAGTGATCAATGGCCCATCATCGGTAGCGGCAGCCGAAGCGGCATCCAATGTATTGGTAGTGCGTGGCACTGCCTCATCACTCATATCGGAGCGTGGCTCATCGTCGTTGGAAACCGAAGAGCTATTCGGCGAAGCATCGACATCGAAACGTTCCAGCTCAACGTTGGTTGAGAATCGCAAGAGATCTCTGGCGCATAGCTCCGATGATGATGTAAGTTGAGTATTAATATAAAAATTTTATTTTTTTTTAATATTATTCTTCTTCTTCTTCATTTTTTTTTACCATATTTAGCAGCTGAGAAACTTCTTGGAACCCGTTTTAACACCAGTGAATTTTCGCACATCACCACCATTGGAAGCTTTCAAGCCAAACCGTAGCCACAAATATCGCTCCACAACGCCACTGATATTATCGGAGGCGCGTTGCGGCATCGAAAATATTAAATTATGTGATAATAGTGTTAATGACGAAAATGGTGACGGCGCCGCCGCAGCGTCGTCATCGTCGTCGTCCTGTGCAGCGTCATCCGGCGCGTGTGGTGGTGGTGGTGGTGGTGGCAATTCAAAAGCCGGCTGCAGCAATAGCAGCGGCAATAGCAACAATAGTGATCCGAATTCAACGAGTGTGATTAAGGTGTGCGCCTCATCGCTTAAGATGAGCAATAGCAGCCATCATATCTATCAGCCGCAACCCAAATATAATTTCCACTACAACAGTTCGCGCAGCAGTCCCGCATCAACGACCGGTCTCGATGCGATGGAGGTGCGCTCGGTAAGTCCACCGGCGAAACTCTTCCATTCGGCTAGATCACCACACCGCCGACCGATACGCACACAACACGCCGCACAGAGGCTACAGCGGCCACATCGGCCGTGTTTAGATTTTGATAAAATGCAACAAGTGAGTCTCTAATGCAGCGCCAAATCAAAGACTTTTTACTTCTCACTAATTACAAGTAAATGTACCTAAAAGCTCGCATTACCCACAATGAAATGAACGGCGGAATGATGAAGTGAAATGAAAAGAGAAGAACGAATGTTTGGAGGATATCATGAAAAATTAAAATAGAATGAAGAGAAAATTATTTCAAAGAGCAGAGCATGAAGATCATGAGTTGATTGTGAAAATCTAATAGAAATAGCCTGCCTATTTTGTTGGTAATTGAATGTATGTAGGTTTTGTACAGCAAAAAAAGTAAAACAAAAACAAAAAATATTTGCAAAAAAAAAAGTCAGTACCCCAAAATTAAATTTTATGTTAAAATTAAGTAAAAGGAAAAAGAAAAATAAAAACATAAGAGCAGTACTGAAAATTCGGAAATATGTATGTAAATGTATGTGAAAAATGTGAATCGGTAAAAGCTAAGAAATTTTAAATGCATACAAAAATTACAACAACAAAAAATTTACGCAAATTCAACACGAAGAACTTAATAAAAATAAAAACAGTAAACAGTTGTAAATCAGCAACTAATAACAATAACAACAACCATATACCAAATTAAATTAAACAAAATTAAATAAAATAAAATTAAATGAATTACATCAAAAGCAAAGACAAAAAGCACTTTATACCTACAGACATACATTTTGCGTTGAATTAAATTTATTATATAAAAAGCAGAGATTGAAAATGTATTTGTAACCACTAAACAATAGCAAAAAAGACAAAAAAAATTGTCTGAGCAAGAAACTTGTAACTGTAAAAATTTCGATTTTCATTTAAAAAACAATTTTTTTTTTATCAAACCCAAAAACAACTTCTAAAAAATATGTTAAATAGTTATGTGTACACCAAATGTAAATGTATGTATGTGCCAGTATTCATATTATTTTTATTCACGTCTGTACTCGGCAGTATGTGAGGTTTGTTCGGCTTACGCATACGCTCGTATATATGTAACGTCATCAAATAATCGAGATAGATATAGATATATGCATATCAAACTTCATGAAACAATGAGACGAATCGATTGAGCCTGCCTGTCTGTCCGCCTGTTCAATTGCCAGTTTGTCTATGTGTGCAACAACTCAAGTCCGGCTTGTGAAAAGCGATTAAATTTGGTAAACACATTTCTTAAGCTATGAGTACGAACGCTTTTGTACACATAACGGTAATATTGAAAAAATACAAAAATCGCCGTAATTCAGTAACTCTATATATATATGAAATTAAAATCATATGTTGTAGACATGATTACATCAATTGAAAAATATGAGAAATAAAAATTTTGGCAAGCGTGGCAACATCTACTATTGGTTCAAATATACTTTTAATTCTCATGCTCTAGCAAAAATAAGAATTGAAAGTGGCCAACAGCTACTGCTTCTCTAATAATTGACGCTTTGTTACCGCTGAAGCGAGTCCGGCATTTTGTATGGGTCTTACTTTTTTTTAACAAATGGAGTAACCTACAGTTTATTCTAAATCGCCTCCGAACGGCGAATGAATTTTTATCAGGAGCTTTATTTCAAGTCAGACTAAAACTCAGAGAGCTTGACATTACCTGCCGACTTGCCATCGCAATTAGAAAAATATTTTTTTTTCTAATTTTGGATGTTGTCGAACCAGCCTTCAGAATGGCAGTATGCACTTAGACCTGAAGCCCCATTGTTACACGGCTGTGGCGTACTTCACACCTGCTCAGATTTACGAACCATTTCGTGTGCTTTACGAACTTTGCGTATCCATTACTACGTCAGGCAGGTAACCGAAGAAGTGATATCCTCGATACTTAAGTCGTGTAGTACTTAGATCTGAACAGTGGTAGATGTAGTGTACGAAAGGCTCGTCTTTGTCTCTGCTGCTCCATAAAAAATTATTTTAAAAGTATCACCTTTCTCTACTAAGAAGACCAACTAAACATTGTCCTGTTAGTTAAGCGGTTATTGTATATATAGTGCACCGATCTAAGCGGATTAAGGTACTTGATATTTTAGTGACCAACTTAAGCTGCTTAAACACTGTACAAGTTCTTTTGTTAAGCCATTTTTGGTGAAAGTCAAAGCTAAAGGTTTGCCCGCGACAAGAGTAGAATTTATTGTCTTTAGAGTGCGACCTTCTCTGGGTAACTCATCCGCCACACAGTTGCCTGAGATGTACCTACACGTATGACCGATTACGCAGAGTACGGCTGTGTTGAATCTAACCGAGAGCTTATTTAAAGTACTTCTTTGTTCGTGTACATAATGTGTGACTGGTTAGTAATCGATGGTTTGATGAGTATTGATTCTGCGGCTTCCATGATTGCAATAAGTTCAGCTTGTAAAGGCGCTGCAGTAGTCTCTGGTAGCCACAAATTAAAATTGATTTAGAGTGTTGGTGAGTGAACTCCACAGCCTATCCCTTTATCCACTTTAAAATCAGCCTTGAAGATGGCTATGTCACTTTGACCCAGTGCATTTGTATTTTCGCATTAATACTTTTCTGGCATTCCTGTGAAGCAGAGATTTTCAAGAGAGTAAGTGAATTCCACAGAACTCAGTCACACTTTTTGGTATTTATATATTAACAAGAACAAAATTCATACCGAAAATTGTTCACATAAATCAAAAAAAAATAGACCTGCCTTCCATTCAATTTTTCACCCATAAGTGGGCTTAGTATCGAGAGAACTTGATCTTTGTTTTTGTGAATTTCAAAAATTTGCCAAATAAATATTAATATGGGTTCACAAACAAGCCTAAATCTCATATAACTGGACTTAAGTCCTTCTGTGACGGTCAGTTTGATGTAAATAACAATTAATTTTCGAATGTTCGTTACTACCCGAATTAAGTCTTCCTTACTTGTTCACATTGCAATTTTTCAATTAGAAATTGATATTTAAAAAAAATTTGGGAATATTTCTTTTCTATCGAATTTCAGAACTAATTTTTTGTTTGTTTTGGTTTCAACGGTAAAAAATAAAAAAAAATTTCGTATTTAAAAAAAATTTTGAATTTTTTGTCAAAAAACTAACACATTTTTGTTCAAAATGCGCGGAAAATCTCATTTGGCCCAGCTTTTGCTTATAAATTTTTAAGTACTATCGAGTACTCGTTGTTCCATCGGTCGGGACGCTCGAAAATGTTCGTATAAAATTTTGAGCTCTATTTGGAACTCCATTTTTCAATGAATTTCAGGTTTCAATTTTTGTTAATTTTTCAATGAGTTATTGAATTATAGGTTTCAATTTATTTTATCGGAATGTTGATTTTTTCCTTAGATGCAAATATTTTTTGTGATCGAAATATCGATTTTCAATGAATTTTCGCATTTTAGAAAGCAATTATTTTTAAATTTTAGTTATCTTCAATATTTTCATGACTTTAGACTTTGCATAAATAAATTTGAAATTATAAAAATTTTTTGAAAAATTGTCCCAAAATTTATTTTTTATTTAAAATGCTTATAAATAAGTGAATTGCTTGAGCTTTTGCTTGTATTTAAATTTTTAAGTTCTCAACTTTGAACAGCTGAGCGATTACTCGTTATCACAAAGTTGGGATTGCTTAATAATATTTTTCAATTTCAATGAAATTAATTAATGAGTCATGAAATTTTGAAAAATGTCAAATCTAAAGAGTTTTCTTAGCTTGAAATATCGATTTTCCAGTGTGTTTTTGATTCGATAGGTTTCAAATTTTAGCTATCAAAAGTCTATATCGGTGAAAAACAGCAAAAAAAAATTGTTTTTTTTTTGTTTTGTATCCAAACAGCGGATTTTTGTTCAGTCTTTGTTTTTGTTCTTCGAGTTTTTATTTTTTCATATTTTTACGTTTATGCATTTTTAAGTATTAATAAGTATTTTCAATCTCTGCTAAAAATTCAACGTAAATTTTTTTATTTTTTTATTTAAAAAATAGTTTTAAATAAACTGAAAATATTTTTTTAATTAATTATTATAATTTTTGTTATTATTCTATTTTGTCTGTCCACAGTTGATGTTGAAAATTAGTAGCTGTAACTGAAAAATTTCTTGTAATGAGTATAGAAAGTGTAATTCTTGACATCTTTCTCTGTTGCCCCTGAAGGGATATATATATATATTGTATTTATATATGTATGTACATATAAACCTGTCAGTAATAGTTTTCTGCGAATAATTTTGTGAAAAATTTGATCTCGTTATATATGTGTGTACGAGTATGTGCATATATTTTTAAGTATACAAGGTTGCCAAGGAAAAATATTTAAGTATTTTGTAGAAAAAAAACGAAAGTGTAAAATTTTTTTTATAGCAACAGAAGGAATAGGAATCGCATTCAATTTTGACAATCATAGCACTTTTGTAATTTACTTGCAAGCCACTTGTATTACACTTTAAATTCCAAATGTGTTTCGTTCTCTCACTAAGCTCATGCGAAAAGTGAGGTTAACATTTTATCACTGGCTAGACTTTATGATGGTCAGAGGTGAGATGATGGTAAATAATTTCACAAAATACATTTTTTTTGTAACTTATTCGCAATTTAACTTCTACTGAATGTTTATCAGGTCTTAGCGATAAAATCCTTCGGTAGCGACCTCAAATTTTTAGAAGCCTCCATATATGACTGAAAAAAAAATCAAAAAATCAAGGCATACATCAAAAATGGTGTTAAAATTCGTTCTACTATGTCTTATGTGATTATGAAGCTACGAATATATTTATGTGTATTAATATATGCTTATACATATATATAAATATATTTAAACTTATTAATTTCATAACATAATTTCATAATTTCATTGCCGTTCTGAGCAAACAGTGGTTCAATATGTCAATAAACTTCTTCCAAAATGCGAAATTAATTTTAGAAAACAACTGTTTGTGGCAACCTTGTTTACAATATTTTAGAATAAAAAAAATCCGACGGCACTTACTTGAAAAAAAGACAGCTTATTTAATGAAAATATGGCATATGTAAAAATTTGATCTCGTTTATTTTTGTAAAAATGTTTTGAAGAATGGCGATATTATTATTTATAAGTAGAAAAAAAATTAAAATTTTTGTATTTATTTAATTTTTTTTTCCATAAAAAAAATGTTAAATCTAAAGTACATTTCAATTTCTGCACATATTAAATTTTAAAACAAAAATGAAAAACAATAAAAAATCACTATAAAGCCAACAATAACGGTAACAAAAAATTAAAATTACAAATCCAACAATAAAACATTAAAAAAAAAATAAACAATAGACAGCGAAAACAATAAACTTCAATAAAAACGAACCAAAAAGCGAAAGACCAGAAAACGCAGAAGA